TATTGGCAAATTCTCCTATTACTTCTGCATTGCCTTACCTGGAGTCAAACATGGACCAGGTAAACTGTACTTAGAATTACATTTAACCGAATTGATACTCGGATATTGCATTACAGTTATCTGGGACTTGTTTAGGATACAAAGAGAAGATCCGGTTAAGTTTTTGCAAAGAATTCGTGAATACTGTTTGTTAGTGAACTGTTTTAACTTCTATTCTCACAAAGATCTTTTTCCCTGTTATCCCAAGCATGGACTGACTATATTTGTATTTATCAGGAGAATTCTACTGTCATATACAGAGTGACGGGAAGGTCAGGGTTGAAGGTGTGACGTCAACTGGAGGGAAAATAGTCGAAAAATACTCTCGAGTGTTCGAGATGAAGATCCAGCAGCAATGCCCAACTGGCCCATTTACCCTCTTCTTCACCCTGCCGGGGCCCGTCGATCCTAATAAGTTCTTTCCCACTTTCAGATCCGATGGCATATTCGAAGCCGTTGTGTCAAAAACATGATCACCAATTCACATTGTCTCTCTTTTATTGTGCATATAAAGCCAAAAGTTAACGTCTTTTGTAGCTTGTGGGGATATGGAACTCTCGGTTGCTTGAAGCCGCTTGCACGTGTTGATGCGCCTTTTGTAGTTTGGCCTCTGTGAGTGCAGTAAAACTCAATTTTAAGCCCTAAACATTCCCCTCAGCTCTTTTTCTTCCCAATACTTCACTCTTGTATTGTAGCTTTGTTATGGAATGTTAGCTGGCCAACTTTTGTTTTAAATATTGATTATGGGAATGTTTTATGCTTAAAATCTGGACAGAACTTGGATTTTTGAGCTGAATTTTGTACGTGCTGCTGATTACTCTTTTTAGCCCTGCTATGGTGATACAGATTTTCAACAAAAGAAAAAAAAAAAAAAAGGTACACACTGGATTAAAGAAAATCTATAATTTTCATTATTTATCCTTCAACAAGTATGAAATTCAACTGAATTAGGGAAAAACAGAACAGAAAAGGCGACGACAAGTGATCATAGTCATGAAATGAAAGGGAAAGGCAAACAACAGGTTAAATCAGTTTTCATCTTCACTTAGTTTTGATGGGATAAGAGGCCATCTTGTTGATGCCACACTTTCCTTCAGCTTTCCCAGTCTTGGTCTTCATCCTTATGTATCCTTTCTCTCCCCAACGTGGGCCCCACGAGTTCTTCACTATGATGAAATTCTCGGACCTGCTCGATTTGTACCCAACGGCTGCAACTCCATGATTGAGCTCTGTCCCGCATGGCTTGTCAAACACACCCTGCATTCAAATTCACAATGAGAATAAACGAAACAAAGGCACGGTGAATCTTGATGCTAAATGTCTTTTTTTTTTTTTT